TATTTTATTAAATTAATAAGGTTCATTGTCTCAACTACAGAGTATATCAGTATATCAATGTGCTATCCAAAGCACATGTCTCTTAAAGTGACATGCCCTGCAAAGAACATTCCAAGCTCATGTGTTTGAGAAATGACACAAAACTATGTGATATAGGTCCACTACTAAAGAGCCTTGGCAACCCAGTCCATATGTGATAAGACATTTTTGTCTTACAAGCATTTACAAGCATTTACATTTGATGGAGCAGAGTTTCAGGGAAACAGTGCACAGAACTTTCCAATTACATGGCCATTCCTTTTGCTTGTGGTAAGCACCACTTGGTTATTTCTGTCTGTGGCATCTGCAACTCTGGCCCCAAGACCAAGAGCTCACTCTCCATAGCTCACGGGAGGGATTTGTTAACTGCTTGCTGTGTTTTCATGAATGACTTCCTGAGGGAAAATTTGCCTCTGTAACATCTGTTTTGGATGCACTGGATTCATATAGGATATTGTCTCTCAGTGAATATAAGAGTTAAGACAAACGATTACATGGATTTCTCTCTTTCCAAAAATGACAAAAGACAATACATTACTAGGACAAAAGTCAATGAAGAAAGCCACATAAAGTTAGTGAACTAAATAAGCAAAGATTTGACATAAAGATGGACCAAAAAGACACTAAAGACATTTTTTTTAATAAGAAAAAAATTTAGACCAGTGGCAAATCACTTTTTCAAAAGACAGAAAAAAAATTAACCATCCCGTAAAGAAGATAAACCAAAAGCCACATAAAGTTCAGAAACTTACCACACTTCACAGACTATATGGCCATGTGGCTCTCTGTAATGAATGCAGTTCTAATGGATAGCAATGACCACTATTGTTATTTACAAATGTTCCCGAGTTGAAATAATTGTTAACAGTTCCACTTTTAATGCCACAGGTCCCATCTTGCAGTCTCAGGCTCTCAACATCCATGAGTTTGGACCATAGGAATGTATCTATTCTCCCCATCAATTGAGACAGGCAGGAAAGGCCTGCTTTGTTGCGAAGGGGAGGGGTGGAGTTCAGGGTTTCGCCAACTTCATCAGTTTAGTGTAATGAATTCACTGAATACTATTGTTCTTAGGGTGAGAAAATGAACACACTGTAAGGAATGGGCTGGGAAAAGTGTCTTCAGTTGCTGTTGTGTGACATTTGAAGCACCCAGACAACTTAGAAGATACAAATGAATACTTCCATTTGGAAGAGGAAATTAAATTACTTGAAAAGCACATGTATTTAAGACACTGATTTTGGACAGGCAGTGGTGGTTCATGCCTTTAATTCCAGCACTTGGGAGGCAGAGACAGGTGTATCTCTGAGTGCAAGGTCAGCTTGGTCTATAGAGTGAGAGTGAGTTCAAGGACAGCCAGGGCAGTTACACAGAGAAACCCTATCCCAAAAAACCAGCCAGCCAACCAACCAACCAACCAACCAACCAACCAGAACAGTGATTTGCAAAATACACTGAACTGAAACAATTAAGTGACACAAACCTACATAAAACTAAGTTTAGAAAATGAAAATAAGAAGGTAGGAGAAGATAGCAATGTCAATTATGCAATTATATATGCAATATGCCATCAAGGGCAGAAAATGTACATTTGTAATAACATGCAAGTAATTTCCCTTATATGAATATGAATTGGTACATATAATTAAAAGATTTCAATATAAAACAAAAAATTGAAAATATTACAGAACCACATTTTTAAAAAAATGTTATAAGAAAGATCCTTTTGAAAATAATTCCTGAATCTTTACATTCTCAGCTGAGGCTGGTGCTGCACTCCTGTAGTCCAAGCCATTTGGATGTGAGCAGGAAGATCACTTGAGCCAAGTGGGGTTTTCGTTTTCAATGATCTAAAAAATTTTAAATTTATGTGCTTTTGCATATATATATACATATATATACATACATATGCATATTTATATATTTGTATACATAGGTGTATATATATCTCACGTATGTCTGCTGCCAGTAGAGGGATATGGATTCCCTGGAACTGGAATTACTGATACTGTGAGCTGCTGCATGGTTCTGGGAAATGAACAGCAAGTGCTCTAAGCTGTTGAGCCATCACTCCAGGCCTGAGTCAAACAGCCTAAGGAAAATGTGGGCAACATATTGAGAATATGAATCTATATGACAGGACAATTAAGCTTTTTAAGGTACCATTATGATACCACAAAGAAAAAACCATCTTGGTTTTTCTATGCTTAATCAACATCCTGATGGATCATATTTCCTACTGGGACCACACACATGAAAATGTAGTTTAAAATTGGACAAATGATCTAATAAACAGCATATATTTGCCACTGTTAAATTGCAGATATTGGTCTTGCATACTTAGCAAACCCTTAGCAATTTGGATCCAATTGCCATACTAGCAGTGATCATTGTGTGTGTGTGTGTGTGTGTGTGTGTGTGTGTGTGTGTGTGTGAAATCTGGTGAACTGACTTTTGGCAAATACAATATTGGGTTGACAGACACAAAATAAGTCATGTCACAAATACTGCTGACCTATGGATTTATGTATTGCTAATAATAATTGTTTTTCTTTCTTTTTTCTGTTTTTTTTTTTTTTTTTGTTTTTCAAGACAGGGTTTCTCTGTGTAGCTTTTGCTGTCCTGGAATTCACTCTGTAGAAAAAGCTGGCCTTATCTCACAGAGATCTGCCTGCCTCTGTCTCCCAAGTGCTGGAATTAAAGGTGTGTGCCACCACTGCCTGGCAATAATTGTTTTTCTTAAACTAAGAGCACTTTTGTAAACACTGCAAAGATAAAAGGTTTATTTATTACTATGAGATGAGAAATAGACACCAAAACCATGTACTCCAGAATGAAAACTGGACCAGAATGAAAACTGGACAGCTTAGAAAATGTTTCAGCTTTCCTTTTTTTTTTTTTTTTTAAAGATTCACTTGCTGGGTGGTGGGGGCATACACATTCAGTGCCAGCACTTGGGATGAGTTACAGGCCAGTCTGGTCTACAGAGAGAGCTCTGGAACAACCAAGGCTACACAGAGAAACCCTGAGTTTCAGGGCAGCTAGGGCTGCACAGAGAAACCCTGTCTCAAAAAAAACCCCAACAAAACAAACAAACAAACAACAACAAAACCAAAACCACCAAAACCAAAACCAAAAAACCCAAACCAAAACAAACAAACAAAAGAAGATTTACTTACTCGTTATGTCTAGTGTATTGCCTGCATGTAAGCTTACATAACAGAAGAGGGCACCAGAGCTCATTACAGATGTTGTGAGCCACCATGTGGTTGCTGGGAATTGAACTCTGGACTTTTGGAAGAGCAGCCAGTGCTCTTAACCTCTGAGCCATCTCTCTAGCCCCCTTGCTTCAACTTTTAATCAAGAGAAATAATTGGTACTTAGGCTGCTAGACAGTAATGTGCAACATGAAAACACATTTAATAAAAAAAGACATAAGCTGAAATGTCTAAGAACCACTCATCTAAAACCCAATCTAAAGCCATCGTTGGAAGACGGCAAGGACCCAGCAAATTTTTGCTATTAATGGCCATCCTCTAGGTTGTTCCCTTTCACTTATGACAGATCTCCTTAAAGCAAACCACACCTTAAGCATTAGCCTGCCCTCTGCTACCTCTTGATGTGCAGAAGACTCAAGATAATTATTTGAATGAGTAAGTAAATGTCTTCTAAAATTTAAAACATTAGAATGCAAAACTTAGAATGTGAGCTGTTATTAAAAACTTAGCACAAAAAATTCAGAAATTATATTTTTTTTTTACCCCTGGTTGAATCTCTACTTGTACAGCTTGTAACTGTTTGGACAAAAAAATGTATTATTCAATTCTACAGATTTTAAAAATAGGTCAAAAATAGATTCTTCTCTCGTATAATACATCCCTACCACAGTTTCCCCTCCATCCACTCCTCCCAACTCTCTCATCTCCAAGAGACAACAACCAAACATGAGAAAAACAAAATACAAGGCAAAAGTCCTTACATTGAGGCTGGACAAGGCAACCCTGTAGGAGGAAAAGAATCTTAACAGTCAGAGATACACCAGTTCCTGCAAAATAGCGAGCTAACAGTAATAACATGTGCAGAGGACCTGGTGCAGACCTGTGCATGTGCATATTTAATTAAATCAATAAGAAAAATACAGGGAAATCTCTAGCATAAATTTTGATAAGCTGTAATTGTGTAATTTTCCATACTTTCTTATGTTATTCAGTACAGAAACAAGGGTTGAAACCAAGGACACAGTCTGTCATAAAACAAAATGAAATGAATCTAAAGTTTTGGAGGAGAAAGAAGCTATGCCCAAGGACACTTCTGAAATCACAACGGTCCATCAATTGTCCGATGTTTTCAGTTTCTTTAACTTTGAGCCATGTAATGAAAGTCACACCAGTAAGCTCTTCATTTTTTAAGTCTTTTTTCATTTATTTTATTTTATGTGTATGAGTGCTTGCCTGCATGTATGTATGTGCACCCGTGCGTGCATGGTGCCTGTGGAGGTCAGAAGAAGTCATCAGATTCCGTAGCACTGGAGTTACAGATGGACGTGAGCCACCATGTGGGTAGTGAGAACCGCATCTGGGTCCTCTGCAAGAGCAACAAGTGCTCTTAACCACTGAGAAATCTAGCCCCCAATAAAGTAAATTAAACCACAATAATGTGTATTTATCCCAAAGTTCCTGCCTCAAATTTCAGATTTGCTCTATCATGAAAACTACGCCTTAATAAATTCTTTCCTTTATGGATTTTCCATGCCTGACTCCAACCCCACTACTTCAGAGTACTTACTACCTCTGGCATTTCTCAAACTAAAACAAACAAGCCATAACCCAAACCCAACTATAAAGGGTTTTCTCTGGTCAGCTTCTGAGAAGCAATGATGGTAGACCACTGCTGAGTTGAAGAACAATAAAAAAAACCCTGATTCAAAATGAGAAAACTAATCTCACAAAGGGGCATTTTACCTTTGAGTTGAAGCTATGTTCATCTTCTTCTGTTGTGGGCTTGGGATTTCTAAATTCGTGGGCGAGGCTTAAGAATAAAAATGAACAAGAAGAAGGTGTTTCAGTTATCAGTTATCTGTATACTAGATGCTCTTCCTTCCTTCCTTCCTTCCTTCCTTCCTTCCTTCCTTCCTTCCTTCCTTCCTTCCTTAATTTTTTTTTGAGACAGGGTTTCCCTGTGGCTTTGGAGGTTGTCCTGGAACTTGCTTTGTAGACCAGGCTGGCCTCGAACTCACAAAGATCTGCTTGCCTCTGCTTCCCGAGTACTGGGACTAAAGGCATGTGCTCTAGATGCCATTTCTTTATGATATATTTAAAGTTGATCTCTGTTTAAAAAAATACAAACAAACCAAGTGAACAAGTGATTGTTGTGTCTTTCTGCTTCAACTCTCTATTGTTTATGGAGACTTGGTCATATATCCATGACAAAGAATGGCAGACCATATATTGGCAGAGCCCCAAACTAATTTACTCTCCTGAAGGTTGAATTGAAAACCCAGCTATTGGATCACATGTATTTCTGCTGCCTGAATTGTAAAAAATACAACAGAAGACTAAAACATATAATGCTCCTTCCTTGCTGTCTCCCTGTTTAACGACTAATTCAGAATTAGACATCGTGATTCTTCATAGTTGAAGCCATAGACTGAAAGATACCATCTTCACATCTCCTTAAAATAGCACAGGGTCTCCCAGGATGGATGGAACCTTTGAAATGTCAATGGACAGTAGTTAAAGATCATATGTCTACACGTCACTGACCACAGTCCCTTCAGAAAGATTAAAATATTAACAATTATAAAAACCAATTATTTTTCTTTAGATGACCTTCATTTCAGCTCTTCACAAACCAGCAAGCAATAACAATCCCTCTTGGGTATATCCACACTGGAGGGAGAATGTGGGGGAAAGCAAAGTCCTGGTGGTGGAGTTCTGATTCCCCAGGAATATCTCCCCTTTGTGCATTCACACATCAAGATCCTCTTTCTTCAGGGATCACTCATATTCTCTGTGGCAATGCATCATGATAAATTCTGAAAGGCTGGAGCTTTTGCTGGACCTCACAGCCAGATTAATAATACACCTTGAGGTCACATAACCACTAAGACTGCTGTCCTACTGTGTACTCAGCCTTTATTTCACCTGCTTTTAAACAGAACCATGGGCTGGAGAGATTGCTCAGCTGTTCTTCCAGATGACCTGGGTTCCATTCCCAGCACCCATATGGTAGCTCACAACTGTCTGTAACTCCAGTTCCCAGAGATCTGATACCCTCCTCTAGCCTCCATATGAACTAGGCACACACAGACATACATGCAGGCAAATCATCCACGAGTATAAAAAAGAACCACTTGGATTTCCCATACTATCAACTTTTACATCCTATGCTAATGCATAGCTGTAACCTTAAATTATATACTACACCATGCCCCTGACCCAGTTAATGCATGTGTATCATTTGTTGAAAGCAGCAAATATGGAGGTTAAGAGAATCTTTGAAAGTGAATATTCATCATAAATGTTAACCATAGCACTTGGCATTGGTTGGTAAACAATAATGTTTGTAATACTGACTGTCTAGATCAGCTGGAGCCGATGACTTCATCCCTTGTAAACCCTATGCAAAGTTTCTGTGAAGTGTCCCATTCTTCCCCATGTGATGCTGTGTTGTTCAATAGACAGAAAAAAAATACCTTTGTCAAGGGAGAGACAAACATAGGGTGGGGGCATGAAGTAGAGGACTCAAATATGGACTTGTTCCAGGTTAAATGTCTCCAAAGGGAAGTGCTTTTCTTTCTTTCCTCAATGGGGCACCAATGCATTATTAGTAACAGTCAGTCACCATTGATTTAATTCACGAGTTCTCTGATCTTAAACCTCAGTCCTGTGAAAGCACAGGTTCCTGAGTTAAAGATGGCCTCAAATGATTAAGATTACAGGAATATTTTCTGAGCCTGCCAAACCCTCTGGAACATCAACACCCTGGTCACAGGTCGACCTGGTCTGACTTCTCTCAGCCATTGATTCAATTTGCGTTTTCCTAGGTGACTATGTATAAATTAACACTGAAGGAGGAGAGAGCAAAATGCTACCTAGTACAGATTCACTGAGTGCCTGAAGTCATTTCAGCATCATTTAACAGAAATCTTGAATTTTGTCAGTTTCTACAGTCTAAAAAAGAGCTTTCCCCAGAACTTTTTTGAGTTCTCTATTTTAATATGTTCTTTTAGATTCCCCAACATTCTGTGTCAAGAATTTCCACATGTTTATCACATGTACTACAATCCCCAAAGTGCTCATCTCTTTCCTAAAATGTGAGCACCGCTCATAACTTGTTCCTTGCAAACCCAGTTCTTTCTGTTAACTCTGTGGGATAGCCAAGAGTGAACTCATTCTTCCATCTTTATTGTCTTCACTGGCATTCTCCATAGTCACCCACCATCTTACTAAAATACTCATCACTAGTGAGGGGAGCTACTGGTCATAGACTTAAGGGTCATGAATCTCACTGCTGCCACCTAGTATATCCAAAGAAGTCATTTCAGAATCTTTTAGTTACACAGTCTCCAACAGAGCAGCCATGTAGGCAAGATCCTGAACACAGTTTCAAGTAACCATGGGTGGTTAGATTAGTCCCCAGAATGCCCAAGTTATGAAACTGTACAAGCAAAGGAATACTTGTATATATATACAAAAATAATGAAAGAGAAGCCAAAAGGAGTAATCATTCATCATTCATAAAAGTGGTATATTCATTGAAAAAGAGAATAAACAAAAAATTAAAAAAAAAACTATCAAAGTCACACACACACGCACACAAACACACACACACATAAGAAAATAGACTAGAAAAAAAGTGACCTAGGAACTAGACTGATATGGCAGCTCATGTCATTAAGTAGAAAAGTCAATGGAAATATCTTCCAAAGAGATTCTGAATATTACTTATACAACATGTAAATATTATTCACTTCATTATTTTATTTTGCCATTCTTTGAGCCATACATTTTCCCCACACTCCTCTTCCCTTCCTTGTCCCCACACTTCCAATACTTCCAGTTTACTCAGGAAGGATCCATGTATGTCTCTCTCAGGGTCCTCTTTGTTGCCTAGCTTCTCTGGGGTTGTGGAAGGTAGGCTGGTTATCCTTTGCTTTATGTATAATATCCAATTATGAATGAGTATATTTGTCTTTCTGGATATGGGTTACCTTAGTCATGATGGCTTTTTCTAGTTCCATCCATTTGGCAAATTTCAAGACATCATTTTTTTTAACCATCATGTAAATGAAGCACATTTTCCTTATCTGTACTTTAGTTGAGGGACATCTAGGTTGATTTCAGGTACTGGCTATTACAAATAATGCTGTTATTAACATAGCTGAGCAAATGTCTTTGTGGTGTGAGTGTGAATCCTTTGGGTATATGCTCAAAGAGCAGTGTTGCTGGGTATTGGGGTAGATTGATGCCCAATTTACTGTGAAACTGTCATATTGACTTCCAAAGCATCCATACAAGTTTGCACTCCAACAGCAATGGAGGAGTGTTCCCCTTACTGCAACCCTCTCCAGCATAAGCAGTCATCAGAGTTTTTGATCTTGGCCATTCTGATAGGTGTAAGATGATATCTCAGAGTTGTTTTGATTTACACTTCTCTGATGGCTTAGGATGTTGAGCAATTCCTTAAGTGTCTTTTTGAGCCACTTAAGTGGCTATTTGAGATTCTTCTGTTGAGGATTCTCTGTTTAGATCTATACCCAACTTTTTTTTTTATTGGATTATTTGGTCTTTCTTGAGTTCTTTGTATATTTTGGAGATCAGCCTTCTGTCAGATGCAGAGTTGGTGAAGATCTTTTCCTATTCTGTAGTCTGCTGTTTTGTCTTGTTGACTGTATCCTTTGCTTTACAGAAGCTTCTCAGTTTCAGGAGGTCCCATTTATTCATTGTTGCTCTCAGTGTCTGTGTTACTGGTGTTCTATTTAGGAAGTGGTCTCCTGTGCCAGTGTGTTCAAGGGTACTTCCTACATTTTCTTCTTTGAGGTTCAGAGTGGTTGGATTTATGTAGAGGTCTTTGGTCCATTTGGACTTAAGTTTTGTTCAAAGTGACAGATATGGGTCTATTTTCTTCTACATGTCAACATCCAGTTATGCTGGCACTATTTGTTGAAGATGCTTTCTTTTTCTGTTGTATAATTTTAGTTTCTTTGTCAAAAATCAGGTGTTCATAGATATATGGGTTGATATCAGGGTCTTTGATTCAATTTCATTGGTCCAACTCCAATGCCAATTCCAAGCTGTTTTCATTTCCATAGCTCTATAATAGAGCTTGAAGTCAGGTATGGTGTGCCTCCGGAAGTTCCTTTCTTGTACAGGGTTATTTTATTTTTCCATATGAAGTTGAGTATTGTCCTTTTGAGGTCTGTGAAGAATTGTGCTGGGATTTTGATAGTTATTGCATTGAATCTGTAATTGCTTTTGGTAAAATTGCCATTTTTACTATGATGATCCCACCTATCCAAGAGCATGGGAGATCTTTCTATTTTCTGATATCTTCTTTAATTCCTTTCTTCAAGGACTTAAAATTCTTGTCATACATGTTTTTCACTTATTTGGTTAGAGTTGCCCAAGATATTTTGTGTTATTTGTGGCTATTGTAAAGGATGTTGTTTCTCCGATTTCTTTCTCAGCCCTTTTATCATGTGTATATAGGAAGGGCTAGTGACTTTTTTGAGTTAATTTTGTATCCTATTATATTACTGAAGGTGTTTGTCAGTTGCAGTAGTTTCTTGACAGAATTCTTGGGGTCATTTATGTATACTATCATATCATCATCAAATAAGGAAAGTTTGATTCTTCTTTTCCAAATTGTCTCCCCTTGATCTCCTTTTGTCTTCTTATTGCTTTAGCTAGAATTTCAATTATTATATGGAATAGATATTGAGAAAATGGATAGCCTTGTCTTGTTCTTGATTTCAGTGGAATCACTTTGCATTTCTCTCCATTTTATTTGATGTTGGCTGTTGGCTT